GACACTCACACACACTAACACTTAGGTTAATCTATTTTTAGTCTGAAAAGTTAAAAATTACTGTAATTAGTGAAATTTGTATTAGTTGTAACACCAGTTATAGTAGATATTAAGGCAGTCAGTTTGTTCAGCAAATAATAAGTTTGTGACCCTTTTGTTGCCGCGACTGGCACCGCACAAAGTATCTCATCTCATCTCATCACATTTGTTCCATTTATTATTTGTGTGAATAATTCCCGTTTTAATTTTATCAAATTGTTGTATATACATTTTTCTTTTTTAATTTTATCAAATTGTTGTATATACATTTTTCTTTTGTGTTTGTTTGTGTTTTTGGTTCGTAACTATTTATTTATGTTTAACGTTGAATGTTTTGATCGTGTTTTGTTTTAGTTCTGTTTTGTTCCGTTTTCTGTTTTTTTTGTCTTTTGTGGTATCATTGTGGTTAACAAATAAATGTATTTTCTTTCTTTCTTCTTTCTGAAATGAACGAATAAAACATATTTTTTTATATAAGGTCATTGGTGTTGTCGTCTGGCACATTATTATTACCTATGTATTTATCAGGTTCAAGAATGAGCCAACCAACGTACTAATTATTACTCTAATTTGAAGAATCTATTTGATATTCTCGCCTCTCCCATATACATTTTGATTTTTAAATGAAACAGACATATTCCCTGGCATTTGCACAGTTGGCCATGGTCAAGGATTCAAGTTCAAGAACCGGCGAACGATAACTGCTGTACTTATCGGGCAGAACTGTTTTCTGCATATGTGCTGGAAGCAACACAGTACTGAAATCCGGCCGCCTCAAGTAGTTATCGATCCTGGTTCGAAATAATCACGTTTGCGAATAAAACAATATGGAGGCCACGCCCCACATGTTTCTCGGTTTCGATTTTCACAAGAGCATTATCATGTGAGATGGTAACGTCAAGAAGAAATATTCGCGAGTGCCGATCGATCGATCCAATATCACAATGTCCAACTTTTTTTTTTTTTTTTTTTATAAAATATAGGTGCGCATTTGACCTCCATCTCACCTGATGGAAAGTGACGATGAGGTCGACGATGGAGCATGCACACCTAAATAATGCCTATTCACTCTCGCCTTGAAAAGGTCCAAGTTATAACGTTCAGGGAACAAGTCTGCAGGCAGGGAATTCCACTCCATAGCCGTTCGCCATATAAATGTGGAAGCGTAACGCTTCGTGCGAATCTTTGGAATATCCACAACATAGGGGTGGAACCCAAGCCTACGCCTAGTCCCCCGGTGATGGAAAGGGGAAGGCGGAATTAAATCATGTAATTCCATCGCACACTCTCCGTGATATATCCTGTAAAATACCGATAAGCAGGCAACTTTACGGCGGTGTTCAAGGCTCTGCAGCTTCGCCTCCACTAATTCCGAGTCACCTATAAGCCTCTTGGCACGGTTGTCAATTGAATCCAAAGTGGCCAGTTGATATGTCGCAGAGCCATCCCAAAGGTGGCAGCAGTACTCCATGCACGATCGGACTTGTGCTTGGTACAGCTGGAGCAACTGTCCCGGTGTAAAGTACCGCCTCACCCTGGAAAGGATCCCAAGCTTCCTTGCTGCATTTTTGGCCGTGGATTCAATGTATCTGCCGAAGTTCAAATTGGACGACAGGTCCATTCCAAGTAGCTGGAGACAATCGGCTAACGGTATGGATATATCACGAAAAGTCGGAGTCAGCTCAAAGGGACTCCGTTTTGTGGAGAATAGACACGCCTGCGTTTTGGTAGCGTTAAATTTGACAAGATTGGCATTGCCCCAATCGGAGACTGCCTGGAGTGTCAAATCTAAACGGCTAACCATGGACTCTCGACAAGACTGGATTTCCTCTCCACTGACCCTTGCATTGGTCAAGTACCTATCTACAACTGTGCTGTCATCAGCATACGCAAAGGTACCTGGAATTAACATATCATTGATATGCAGCAGAAAGAGAGTTGCAGACAGTACGGAACCCTGAGGAACTCCGGCATCTATCGCCATATGTTCGGAAGAGTAGCCTTCTAAGACCACTCGAATCGAACGTTCGCTCAAGAAATCCGAGATCCAATTGCAAAGGTCAGTGGGAAGCCCATAAGAGGGAAGCTTGCTTAAAAGGCTTGCGTGCCAGACCCTGTCAAAGGCTTTAGAAATGTCCAAAGACACTGCAAGTGCTTCGCCTTGCTTTTCTATAGCCTCGCTCCATATGTGACAGGCATACACAAGAAGATCCCCAGTAGATCGCCCTCGTCGGAATCCGTACTGGCGATCACTGAGGAGATCGTTGTCTTCAAGGTACGATAGGAGACGGTTGTTGAGTACACGTTCCATAGTCTTGCAGAGTATGGAAGTGACTGAGATAGGTCTATAGTTGACAGGGTCAGCTCTGCTTCCCTTTTTTGGTACAGGTTGCACGTTTGCAAGCTTCCACGACCTGGGAACTACACCAGTCTCAAGTGAGAGGCGGTACAGGCGTGTGAGAACAGGAGACAACTCAGGTGCACAGTTACGCAGGACTATTGCTGGAATTCCATCTGGCCCGCTAGCCTTATTCACGTCTAGATTTCGCAGAGTTCTAAGTACCTCTTTTTGGCGTAAGCGAACTGGCGCCATAGTGCAGCCAGCCTGAGGTAAAGTAGGTGGTAGGGTCCCTGCGGCATCTAGACGCGAATTTTCTGCAAAGAGTGAGGCAAAGAGATTCGCCTTCTCTTCCGCAGTATGAGCCAGCGAACCATCTGGCCTCAGCAGAGGTGGCAAAGATGGGCGACAAAAGTTCGATTCGACCGCTTTGGCCAGGGACCAAAAGGATTTGCTGCCTGCTGGATAAGAGGCAAGCTTGGCTCCTATGCGGCGCACATGGTCGAACTTGGCCCTACGTAACATGCTTTTGCACTTCTTGGCGGCCTTATTAAAAGCTTTCTTCATGTTCTGAGTACTCGGAGTTTTGCGTAGTCGAGCATCTGCCCAAGCTTGGTACGCGGACTGTTTACGTGCTTCAGCACAACTACAATTAGCGTTAAACCATGGACGAGCTTGGGGTCCATTGGGTACATCAGAGTATGGAATGTAATACTCCATACCCAAACGCAAGACCTCGACTACAGCATCAGCACAGCTCGACGAGTCTCCTGAAGTAAAGCACGCCTGCCAGGGATATGACGCAAAGAAATGGCGCATTTCGTCCCAATCTGCTAACTTGTATCGCCACACCCGTCTCATACCACTAGGGCCCTGATCGGGTGGGGAGTATACGGATACAGTTTTCACCAGACAATGGTCGGAAGTACCCAGTGGGGCCTCCACAACCACAGAGTATCGGTCCGGATCAGTTGTCAGCAGAAGGTCCAAGCAATTAGCCGTATGGGATTCAACATCTGGTATCCTAGTGGCGCCACTGACAAGCTGGGATAAGCTTAGCGTTAACGCAAGTTTACGCGTCTCTCTCCCAGCGTGATCGGTCTTCTGGTATGGGAACAACCATTCTTGATGGTGTGCATTAAAGTCCCCCAGAATGACTAGTTGCGCCGCTGGGTACCTATGCTGAATCTCATCAGACGTCTCACTTAGATATTGGAACAGCTTGGTCGTCTCCTGATCTCCACTGTGCGATCGGTAAACACAGCAGTACACTATTTGTGTAACTCCTGTGTCAACCAGAAGCCATAAAATTGAAAAACTCGGTGCCTCAAGGTTCTTGAGACGCTTGACACAGATGTCATCGCGAACGTACACACAGACTCCGGCACGAGGTACGAACCTGTGCTCCAGAGTATACCCGGGGTAGCTGAGGTACGCTGCGTCAGTCGGACATCTGATCTGCGTCTCTGTGAGGAACAGCAGCTGCGGTTTGTCGGTTTGAAGGTGGTAGTGGACCGAATCGAGATTTGAGTGCAGACCTCGGATGTTAGTGAGGTGCACTTTTAGTGGGAGGACGTGCAACCGCTGTGTATACTTTTTTCCATTTTTAAAGTTTTTCATTCAGTTTTGGAGAAGTGAATAGGCAGGAGGAAGGCAGTTGAACGAGGCACTGCGTCGTGTTCAACCAAGCAGCAGACTCATACTGCCACACGAGGTTACAATCGGCTTGGAGACCGCGGGGACGCCCGAACCCCCCCGGAGATGGCCACCTGGTCCTCCCTTCCGGTCGCCAACCGGCAAGGTGGAGCATTCCGGGATTTTTCGTTGGGTGGCGGGGCAGCCTTTCACGGGTGGCTTTCCCGCTACTTGGGCCCCCAACTTCCCACGGTCGGCCAGCGGTGCACCGTGCTTCGGATCCCGCTAGCCTCCAGAACCGAGTGCTCAGTGTGGCAGTACAAGCAGCTACAACTCGCCGTCAGACGCAATGCAACTGTTCAGACCCGACCTCCAAATGGCAACTCCCGAACACGAGTCGGAACACGGTAAAAACCATTTGGCGACTCGACTGCGTCGGGAGGGTGGTGACTAGCCACGGCCGAAGCCTACCACCAGTAGTTATTGCTCTTTAGCACCACCCAGGGGTCACTTGTAGGGTCTCAAGGGTAAACCTACGGAAGCGAGCAACATCAACCCCCAAAAACTTATTCGCAAGAATAGTCATGGCTGTGCTAACCGATTGGTCCCGACTGATTTTGGCGCGGTAATTTATAAGTATAATGTCAAGTGTAATAAGGCATCCTCTGTTGCACAAGTTCGTATTTCCGTGCTAGCTAGTGCTTAATATAATATTTTGGTTGGCTGATTGGCGTTACCACCACACATGATAATGAAAAAAACCATCGGTTTTCCCCAAAAAAAATTCAAAACGCATTATTTCTATTATTATTTTGGGAATTTATTTAGATTCTCGCCTTTCCCATGACCAAAAATATATAATTATATCCATAAATAACGTTGGTGGTCTTTAACAGACACCTCAAATCGACAAAAATGTCCGACGTTCTTGTGTGTGGTGATTTCAACGTACCAGAGCTAGACAACTTCCGCATATGATGTCACTTACCGAAAAAGCTTTGAGGAACACCAAGCACTGTATGATGCCCTCCATCGTATCACCGGTCAGACAAAAAGTTCCAGTTAGGTGGCGGCCTTTCTTGTCACCGATGGCCGGTGCTGCGGCGAGACTGGCGTGGACGAGGGCTCCTCGGGGTCTTGCGTCTCGGGTGGCGCCGAGTACGCCCGGTAGCGGCGTGCCGTCCATCAAGCGAGCCAGCGGGTCCATGACCCGCGGCTAACTGTTCTCCCACATTGTTTGCACTTACACTTTCACTTTTAACACTTTCTTTTTTGGCACTGGGTTAGAAATGATACTTCTTTAAAGTTCCGTTGGGACACAGAACTTTCAACAGAAAATTTGGCACTTGGACACGGATTGCAGTCGGTAATAAATATCAATATACGAGATGGAATTATAGGAATATTGTATTCACAACAATGACAACTGAAGACGATTTTGGTTTTGAAAAGAAGGACCAGATAACCAGAAGATTAACAGGTATGATCGCCGTCTACAGCAGAAGACAATGAGCGGAGCGGTATCACGCGGTTGACGCCTCGACTCTGGCTGCTCGGTTGGCAGAGACTTCTACACTCTTCGCAACTACACTGCTGCGTTTCCTTCCAGCAGTCACTGTTCATTAGCAACGTCACTAGAGTGTATATCAACACTCCGATTCCAATTATGATGTATATTTCCATACTGTGTTTTCGGATTTCACACTAATTTGGCACATAACCTACACTTTGGCACTTTAAATTCCGGGCTGCGTTCCAAAACAAGGTTAAAGCTAGTAAGCGAAAGGTTGGATCGAGTTCCAACTTCTGTGTAAACAATATATGACCAGTTATTGGTAATTACATATATTTTGGAACACTGCCCTATGCGTTACATCAGTGGCCATGAATCTTGGATGCAAACAGGATTAAACGGCGTTGTTATAGGGGAAATTATAATAAAATCAAATTCGCGTCCGTTCATTTGTCATTTTAACGAGTTTTCACCAATGTGAATCGTGTAGACGACGGTATGTGCGGTAAAAAGAGGAATTAAACGGTGAATTATACGCGAATTTCCCCCCTCACAACCCGCAGCCCTTCCTCTGTTCGTGAGTGACTTGGGAAGCTGGTGTAATTCCAATCTTTGTCGGTTGTTACGTTCATGATTTACATACGGCGCGGGCCGTGATTTTAATGGAATCATTCGTAGCGTAACGGCTGTTTTGCATACAAAAACTCGCGTTTCGGACCGGAATATGTTGTTTTAGAGGCGAAACGACGAATATTACAAATTGGTTTTTGAACGAGTGCTCGTGGCGGAATACTAAATGAATTGGAATATAGCTTTTTTTGTTGGGTATGCATTTTCAAGAGATTTACACACGATACAATATACAAAGATGTTACACGTCAAACAAAAAATTTGCATAACCGTTTTAATATTTTCGGCGCTGGATATTTCTTCGCTCTGTATTTATTCTTCACATGGTTTATTAATTTCAGCATCTGGATCGATTGATCGCTATGCACTCTCGGAAGGTCCAGGAATGAATCTACTTCTATAAAACAATTTTTATAAGATCTACCAACTACCAGCGAAAAGTCAGTATTTTGAATTTACCAACTAGTTTTCACGTTATTGACCTAATGTACTACCACCTCGTTCTCGAAAACATACTGATTCATGTTTTTAGAAAATATTTTCCAAACCTAACAACGACGTGTTTACTTCATATCCCTTGTGTGCCTGAATGTTAAGGCAGATTTTATCCATATTTGTACCTATTCAAAATAATGAAGCCACTTTTTTCTACTGAGATTATATTTTTGTAAATCATATCATCAATCGATCGTCGTTATCTAAAGGTGTGATAGATAATATATAGCTTATTTTTTATAATAAATTTCAAATCATTTGAAAAAATTAAAAAAGTGCTTTGGATTCAACAGTTCCCGATAAAAAAAGATAGAATCAGAGCACGCAGTCGCAAATACAGAGCTTTATTTAGGTATATTAGACGTGTGGCAAATCATTTGTGTCATAACGTATACGTTTCTGCGTTATTTTAAAGTTCTGCCATCGTAGGAGCTTATTAATTATCGAAAGGATCCTCTGTTTGGCCGTTTGTATAATATTAAAACAAAAAACACAAACAACGCTCAGAAAACGGAAGAAAAACACTACTTACTTCGTCGTGTGTTAATAACGAGTTCATTTAGCAATAAAGAGACGCAATCGCGACAACTCTTGACATAGCTGTTCATCAGAATTACTGACGTCCGCTACACATTACCGGAAATGCTGAGACGAGGCAACTTTTTGCGAACTGTGTCAGGCTGTTTTCTTCCTTATTCTGATTTATGGCGTATATTTGTGAAAATTTGGTTAGGGTGCTTTGCAATAATATTGGACATAACTATAGTTGACGACATTACCGCCTCAGTCAGTCATCCATCAGTCACCACGCGATCTGTAAAAGGCCTGACACGTTGGTTTGTTTGAAAAAACAAATCCGGAAAAATACATCCGGAATAAAAGTTTCATTTCTAACAAGAACTGGTTTTTTAATTATGTATTATCATGGCATGTCACAACCTCGTAAAAGTGGTACAAGCAGCGACAACTTGCAGGGATGCAGCTACGGAGTACGCAATTTTACGAGGCATACAGCGTGCGTCTGCGCATTGATAATCTCTAAAGTAAATTCACAACTGACAGAGCATGTCGGAATGTACCTCTTTTTGAGAAAAGGCTCAAAAGTTATTAACTACTGTATTTCAATACTTTAATAGCAATGAATGGCGGTGATTGAGCAGGGGGCAAGGGCGCGACGCGCGGGAATATTGTCCCGATGATGGCAATCACGAGGTAATAGTTTGCCGTCCATTTCGCCATTATTGCTTGTTGTTATTCTCACATTCAATATACGCGGATTTAGTAGAGACGAAGCCGAAGAGCCTTGAACACCATCGTAAAGTTACCTGCTTATCGGTATTCACGGAGAGTGTACGATGGAATTGCATGATTTGATTCCGCCTTCCCCTTTCCATCATCGAGGGACTAGATGTGAGCTAGGGTTCCACCCTTATGTTGTGGATAAGTCCAGGATTCGCGAGATGAGAGAGAGTGGAATTCCTCACTTGCGGACTTGTTCCCCGAACGCTATAACTCGGACCTTTTCAAGGTGAGAGTAAATAGGCATTATTTAGGTGTCTATGCTACATCGTTGACTTCTTCGTCACTTTCCATCACGTGTGTTGGAGGTCAAATTCGCACTAATTTTTGTAAAAAAGAGCTGTGGTGCACATACATTATAAGTATACACCAAATATCAAAATAATGGAACTCTATTGGTCGATTTAGATTACCTTACCTTCCACTTCCTTTTTAGAGTCAATAAATCCAATAATCATTGGTAATTTTTGTTTTTAGATTGGTTGGATGTACAAAGCGTTACGGAAAATTGAAAAATTGGCAGTCTACAGATGTTTTCTTATTCTTAGAAATAAAAGTCTTTTGTTTTGGTTTTATTATCTAGAAAAACTTTATTCACAAAAGAAAAATACCGTGATTCGAATATCGTAAGCGAGAACGCCCGTCAAGGGCAACCAAGGTCCTCTCTGCAACACAGGCATATAGCCTTCTCATGATAAGGACATCACTACTAGCTTTAGTGATGAGATGATTTATTACTATGAGTATCTTCACATAAGACAAAAGAATACAACTAAGAGAAGTCCTCGCAACCGCTATTCGTAGCTATATTTCACAACCAGGCGAACATAAATCATCTCAGCAGCTCTGTCGATAAATCGAACATTTCCTACCATTGTGTTTCAAACGTTCGTTAGATTGAGCTTAATATAAAAAGATAATAGAAAGAGAGATCTTTATTTGTCGCTGTCCAGCCCTACAGAAAACGAATGACAAAGTTTTTTTTTTAATATCAATTCGCCAATATTGCTATGTTTGAAAACGATCTTTGAAATTAATACTACTCGTTATTACAATACTTTAACCTTTATAAAAATGATTTCATAGTTATCAGAAGAATGGAATTCGAGTCCGCGACAGTATGTAACAATTCTCAGCGTATGTTGGATATCGCGCAATGGACGGCAAACCATGCTCTCGTGATTGCCATCATCGGGACAGCAGGCGCGCGCGCCGCGCCCTTGCCCCCTGCTCAATCACCGCCATTCATTGCTACCAAAGTATTGAAATATAATAGTTAATAACTTTCGAGCCTTATCTTAAGAGAGATACATTCCGATACGCTGTCTGTGTATGTGCGTATACCATTACATTACGAACTCAACTAGACGAATTCGATTTGTAATACAAACACTACAGACGAGCAATAGCGTCTATCGCACCTGTTACGTAGCAATTAAAATGGACTAACACGGTGTGAAAGTCCGTCTCGGTTATCGTGAGCGAGATTGTAAATGTTTTCCATATTGAATGGTTGAACAGTTGTACGCTGATCCAAAAGACTTAACTTCTAAACTTCATAGTTTAACTCGCCGACGTTGACGTTGTTTTCTACAGAATATGATATATACTTCGATGACTCTGCCCATGAGCACCATCAGCTCATTCCGCTCGTCCCTTTTTGTCATCGGATATCTAGGCGTAAGGCGGGCTATCATCCCTACTAGGTCGATATTTCAGTACACAGCCCAGAAATGGTATCCCTGCCCGTGACTGTATTTCCGAGCAAATACGATCCGAGTATCTTTAACGTGCGACTCTTCTGGGCGTTTCTATCTTTGCTCCAGGGCAAGATGGTGGTCAAAAGCAAGTCCATTTATTTAAAATATATGTATATAAGCTTTAAAGGTTTCGATCAATGCTCGATACATGGTTCAACATGAAAATAATAAAATCCCAGCAAAATTATTACAAACATTCGACAGTGTTTGCGTCTAAAGTAAAATGTTCCAATACACGTGTTTTCTACAAATATCTACCGAGCACAGAAATAGTCGCATTTCCTATCGTGTTCTCGTCGAGAATCAATTACGCACCAACGCCGAGTGGAGGCTAGATTAACAAGAGGACTCTGAGCCCATTGTCAGTGTTCCCGGACCCTCGGCAGATACTCCAATCTATGTATTACGTCGAGTTCAACCATTTTACCTTGTAATTATATACCAAACAAACACGTGTCAAACTGAAGTCCACGGCTCTTCAAAGAGTGTTTTTTTTAGA